CACACACACACTCATACACACACTCACACGATATATGCAAATGCGTTTGTGTGTACGTGTGTCCGTACTCGAGTACGCGTGAGAGAGCTTGAGAGTGTTGTATGTATGGGAGAGAGAGAAGTGTTTGTCTGTGTGTAAATGAATTCATAAGAATTTGATTAGAAAATATACACTTTATCTAGGTATTTGGACAGTGTTGTATCGTGAGCAAAAGGACATTTCCTAGAATTCCGAATGAAATTATGTGTGCCGCAAATTGATAGAATAATTACAGTGTTTCTTAATCAGACGTATTAGAATTTATCATCACTAAAAAAAAGTCACATCCAATACTTTGCCTTCACTTCCAAGAAAAAGCGACAATAATAAAAGAAGAAAAAAAAAAACTCGGAAGTAGAATACTAATTTAGATTTCGGAATTTCGTGTAGTTTAATCCCATTCCTTCTTACTCAACAAACACGAGTGTCTCACATGTCATAAACGTCAGTCTTTTGAAATTTACGTGCCATGTGTGCTCCATGCCAAGTAACAGTGTTGGGTTGAAGTTGCATACGAATCATCCAGTGGAGTCGAACTTCTGATAGGCGTACAGACTCCCCTCAAGCGGTGAACAGACTCCCCTCAGGCGGTGTTATGGAGCCCCACAGAAGCGATGGGATGGGAGGACGAGAAGGTATTCTGTGAGGGGAAATGTTTAGCTGGTTCCGTAAACTGTTTATCAAATGGCGCCAGAGTTTTGAGGGTGAAGTTTAGTGTTCAGGAAAAATGGTGTTCTGGATCGCGTGCACATTCAGAAACATTTTTGTTTTGTGTGTGTTTGTTGTTTGAGACGCCCCTGTTCGCCTCAGGGGAAAATTAGACGGCTTAGGAGTGTGCTGGGCGGGCGATACACAGACTGAGCACGGGAGGGAAAGGCATATGGTGGCGCTGAGCAAAGGAGTGTTATAGTGGCAAGTGGTTGTGGGGGGGGGGGGCAATGTGCCTTTGGTGTGGAAGATCATTGTACTTTTATGCCATAAGTGTATGAGGGGTTGTGTATTAAGTGCAATATAGATGAACGTAAGGATTTGTTGTAGATGTATTATTTCAGTTCCAATGTTCTTATTTCCTGAGACCCAGACCCTTTTGAAGCTGATGCAAAATGAAGAGGTGAAAAAGGACGAAATTCATTATAAAATAAGTTGACCCTGAGCTAAAATTATGTATGAGATTAGAAGCAGTGATCGTCTACAAAGTTGCACGCTATACGGTGAACTTTTTTCGGAAAAGCTCAGTCTATGAGACGCTTAATGTGGAAGCTCTACATCAGATGTCTTTTCCTGTGGCAACTATAATTTAACCTGTGATTAGTATGCCAGCCCTGATAAGCGTGGTAGCGGCGTTATTTTTAAGATGATGTGTGTTCGCTCTAAATAAAGCCCGGGCGAGCGAGGTGGCTCCCAATACGGCCTCGCTAATCGTCGTCACCTTCTGAGAAACGAGGAGCCGAAACAGGGCTCTCCGAACCGGCGTTGACTGCGTGACTCTGCTGTGGCTTTGCAATAATGGCTCCACTCTTGGGCTGTGGCGATCGTTCGAGGCCTTTCCAACGCAGGGTGATTGGAAGACAGTGATCGAGTGAGCTGGACGGATTAGCAGGGCGCGGGCTGATTAGAAAACCGTGTCATTTAAATGGGTTGATGGGCGCGCGCCTGGAAAGAATACATAGTGAGGGTCGGAGGAATTATAATGAAGATTAGGGATAATGCCATTATTCGTGGTTTGGTGAAGGCGATTGGGTATGAAAATAATGGCAGTGGACGCCACATTTCCTCACGAGAATGATTCAAATTATTACTGATCGTATTTTAATAAAGGCTGATGTAGCAGCATAAGTATGTATTAGTTTTGTAGTAGTTTCTTTTTTGTATTGATTCGGAGATCAATAGTTATCTGTAGTAACGGAAATGTATACTTCAGGGGACACAAGAAAGTGAATAGAGTAAAAGTTGAATCCCATTGATTTCAGGAGGTTCTTCACTCTTGTTACTTATTTCTCATTGTCATCATAATCATATTCACTATTATTACTAGCAGTCACCACCACCATTCGAAAATCTCCAACATCATCTGCAATATTAGGTATCGTCATTATCACAATCACTACCACATCATCACCATCACCACCATCATCATCATCATCATCATCATCATCATAAATCATAATAAATCATAATCATCATCATCATCACCATCACCATCATCATCACCATCATCATCATCATCACCATCACTACTTTCCTCCTCACTACTTTCAACTTTCTCAATCAATAACACCATGATCGCGATATGGTCCAATGCTAAAGAGGAGATATTTGGTCACAAAGTAGAAATAACTGTAATGTCGGTATTATAATTAATACTAGTGATGTAACGGTAGTAGTGGTGACTATAGCAGTAGAGGATTTATTAATGGTTTTACAATGAATGAACTATATCTAGAATGAGATGTTTAAAATG